TTCTATTCAAGCAAATTTTCCTAGTGTGATCAAAACATAATTTTAATGGCAACTGACCAGTACTGTGCCTCGCTTCACTTTTGTTGGCGCTTCCGCACTTATTAGCGACGGCAAATTTATAATGTCATATGCAATAGTTTTGCCTCTTTGCACGCCTGCGACAGCTACCCAGTCACCAATTTTCAAGTCCCTCAATGAGTTATCACTTCTGGAAAGAATACTTGGGTTAATTATTTCGTGTTACTGGGTTACATAACATTTTTGAGCAGCTGTTTCGACTAACACCGGCAAACTTAAAATAAACAGCGATGCGCACCAAGGCAGCTGGTGCGGTCATGCGTTTTGCGCACTTCTGTACAACGAACATTTGTCTGCTAAGAACTTTCATTGCTTCGCACTTTCGTCCGTGCAAAAATAGTTGAAATATTGTCTGGTTCCTAAGCTGTGGAATTTTCACTAAAAAAAATGCACTAACAGATGCGTGAAAGCCAAATTTGAAACCTTGAAGGGTGAATATCCTTTCAGAACTTCACCACCTAACTTTCTGGCTTTCGAGTGATTTTTGTGACCGTGCGTGAGACCTTAACATGTTCAGGAACCCAACTTCAGTTCGTGAAGCTCCTGCTTAGATAGAAAACACCACTTGAAATTTTCAGCCTCACAGCTCGCCTAGCTCCCTAAATAATGATTATTCCCGCCAAATATTTCACATGGACGTTGAGCCCATGCATACGTGAATGCTGAATTTAAATTAGCAGAGCCGTAAGTGGGTAGGAAACGCTACCTTAAAGTTTCAGGTTCCTAGCTTTCGTGGGCTCAGAGATAATTTTCCTGCCAAAACTTTCACGGGATCGTACGTGATACCCGGACGTAGGGGAAGGCTGAGCTTAAACTTACGGGGTTATATTTGGGCAGAGAAAATTATCGTAAAATTTTAGCCTCCTAATTTTTGTGGTTCCCGAGGTAATAATTTTTCCGCCAAATTTTTCACGGGACCGCAGGTGGTAACCAAGAACGCAGAAAAGCTGAGTTTAAATTTGCGAGGTCGTACGTGGGCAGGAGACGTACCTATAAAATTTCAACCTCCAAGCTCTCGTGATTCCCGAGATAATAATTTTCTTTGTCAAAACATTAACGGTGCTGCACATGCTACTCGCGCGATGAAACGGCTGAATTCAAACTTTCTGGGTCGTGCGTGGGCAGGAGATACACCAACAAAATTTCTGCTTTTTAGCTTTTTTGGTCCCGAGATAATAATTTTCCTGGTAAAAACTTTTGGAGGACCACACGTGTTACCTGCTGACACAGGAAGGCTGATTTTAAACTTGCGGGGTCACACTTGGGCGGGAACATTCTCCTAAGTTTTCAGATTCTTAGCTTTTTGGCTCCCGAGTTGAAAGCTGCGAACAAAGATGCTTCGGACACATACACAAACACAAAGACAACTCCGAGGCAATCTGCGTTTTGTGCAGCTTTGCACAGCGCAAACGCACAATTAGTTCTGAATCTGTTAAAGAAGTACGTTAGCAGCTAACAGTCTAATTTCGAATTTTGTGATTCCAGTCACAGACAGCTAGATGTGATTCCAGTCACAGTCACGTGTGACTTTGCCGGTTGCAGGCAATAAACACATCAGAAAGCCAACTTTTAAAGAATACTTATTTAGGCTTCTATATGGATTACCACTTAACGCATACAATGAGAAGTAAATGAGTATTTTCTAGAAAGCTCTACGCCATAATCAGTTCTGTTAATAGTGAGGAGCAATACAGCAACATAAAAATTCATGTCAACTGCATTAATCGCCAAAAGAACTGTCCTCGAAGCT